CGTGGTCACTGCTGGGGCCACTTTGAACTGTGTCCTTTGGAGGTGGCACCACTAATCCTGGGACCTTCTGCCGGACCCTTAGAATCTTCTTCTTGGGCCGTTTCTTTTTGTTGTATGTCAGCATGGTTGGCGCATGCACCAAGCCACCCTGCTTCATGGTGCTGGAAGCTTCCGCCTCTGTCTCAGCCACACTTAGAACCTTCTGGGCTTTCCTCTTCTTTCCCTCTGGTTCATTGCTTTCGTTCTGGTTGGAGGACATGGCTTTGTCCCCTGAGCTCAAATTTTCAGGCTGGAGATGATTCTTCTTTTTCTTTTTCCTTTTCCTCTTCTGAGTACTGCCTCCACTCTCTTCTTCCTCTACATGTAAAGATTTGTTTCCTAAAAGGAACAAAAAGCAAGAAAATTAACTTGATGCCAACATGACATGCTATGAGACCATAATCATGGAGGGAATTTTACCACGAGGAAAGTTCTGTCCTGGATGGTGCACTGAACCCAACTCTTCTCATTCACTGTGGTTGGAAACCTTGCTTATCTCAACATAAAAGGTACTGAAATACCTAGATATTAGAGACCTAATATAAATTTAAGTAAAAGACAGATTCAGTGTATTATAATAATGAACTTAATGCTCCAAAAAGAATTATCTGTCTGGTATCTCTACATCCTCTGCCACCAGGTGTTCCTTAAAAGCTGTTCCTTATTAAGAGTAAGGAGAAGCTTTTTAACTTAATGAGGTGAAGTAGTAAGCACTGCATAAAATCTGAAAAAGACTTTTCCTTTTCTGATTTTTAAAGAAGTAGAGATTCTTGCTTTGCTGATAAACTACAAAGACATTCAAGAACTTCCTGAGAATTCACAGCCAGGCCTGGCCACAGCAGGGCCGGCTACACCCACACTTTGTTTTAAAAACAAAACAAACTTACAACTAGGAGAAAATAAAATATATAAATGGGACCCGCTAAGAATAAAATCCCTAAGCATGTCAAAAAACTTCTTCAACAGGGTAAAAAGGAACCCTACAGACTAGGAAAAAAAACACTTTGCAATAACATAGCTGATAAGGGACTTACATCTAAAATGTATAGAATACTTCAGCGCCTCAACAAGAAAAAGATAAACAACCCAATCATCAAATGGGCACAAGAAATGAATAGACATTTCACCAAAGAAGATATTCAGATGGCAAACACATGTTTAAAAATCAAAACAACTATATCATCTCATTCCAGCAACACTAGCCAAGTTAAACAGAGCAGCAAACAAATGATGGTGAGGTTGTAGAGAGATTAGAACTTATTCACTGCTGGTGGGAGTGTAAAATTGTATAGCCTCTATAGAAGGTAGTCTGGCACTTTCTTGGAAAGTTGGAAATAGAAATATCATTTTACCCAGGAATTCCACTGTTGGGAGTATACTCTAAAGAAACCAAAGCCACAACTCAAACAGATGTATGGATACCCATGGTTATTGCTGCGTTATTCACAAAAGCAACCCAAGTGCTTATCAACAAATGAACTGATAGAAAAACGATGATACGGTCACACAATGGAATATTACACAGCACCGAAAAACAATGAACTCGTAAAACATACAACATGGATTATCCTGGAGCATATTATGCTGAGTGAAAGATCTCAGCCACAAAAAGACAGATAATGCATAACACCACTCATATAAAACAGGACAAATGGGGGGTGGGGTTGGGGAGAGAATGGAAAGAGTGGATAATGAACATGGCATTAGAACAGATGAGAGGAAGAAACATGATTAGGCATTATAAGTGTGACAACAATTTGGAAAAAGAGGTGCATTTCAGGGAAGGCTGGAGACGTAGAGGGAAGAAAATATTTAACAATGAAAAAATTAATAAATAAAAATACAAGGGAAATAAAAATAAAAAAGCCAAATTCTCTGAGATTAAGTTTTGCAGCTCACCTTTCTCCTTTCCCAAATGGGTTTGCACTGAAGGCTTATTCCCCTTTTTCTTATTCTGTCCTTGACTGTTGGGTTGCTCATCTTCACCAGCAGAAATGTTCTCATCAAAATCGAACCGGGATAAAGTGCCTGCTAGACACCAAAGTGCACCTGGTCAGATTTCTGAGACTTTCAGGGCTTTGTCCCTCTCCATCTGAACTGGCAGACTTTGACCCTGTTTTCTATCTCATCACTGCTACTCCCCATTGTCTTTAAACAAAATGTGAAAGCTGACCCAGGAGTCAGAGGGGTCTGAAACTTCACAGATTTGCCAATTGAGAAGGCAAAGGATTAAAAGTCATGGTCAACACGGGGTCTCTGTGGCAGGGGATAATTTTCTTGGTCCAATGGAATGACTAAGCTTATGGACAGTCGCTTTCCTTGGGATAACTGATTATGAGAAAATTCCAAGGACTTTTTGAGATGAAATTTCCTTTCAAGCTGAATCCTTCTTGAGCTAAAATAAGAAACCCAAATGCCATATCATGTACGAACATGATATGGCCACAGGGCACTTTTTACTCTGGAATTTTCAGCCATAGCAAGTGTGGCTCAGCCAGAGTCCTTGGGATGTTCAGTGGGTGGTGGGCAGGAAGCTCTGGCACTTGGTGCTGAGGCCCAGGGCTCAGCAGTGGTGGCAGAGGCCCTCTTCCTATGAAAGGGACACCATAACTTTAAAAAGTCTCCAAACCAGACTTCCAAAATGTCTTCAACCAAACCAAAAAAACTTATCACCAATTCTGACTACAGACACCCTACAGTGCAGAGCAGAACTGCCTCATGGGATTCCCAAGGCTGCCAATCTTTAAATGTAGGCAGTCACACCTTCGTCTCAGGGAAGAGCTGGTGAATTCAAACTGCCAAGTTTTCATCAGCAGTCAACTGCTTAACCACTGCGTCACCAGGGCTCCATTTACATGAATGTCCACATTCATGTACAACACTATAATCAGGCTTTCCTTACCTTCAGAAAAGTCTTGGAACCTGGGGGAAAAAAAGAATATGAAGTTAATAAAGATAAGGGACACTGAGCTTCTATGGAAAAATTCAGGTATGGTTGTTTATTCACTTTTCTTTCAGAGAAAATGTGCCTATCTTACTGGTTTTTCATTTGACCATTTAGATGTATTTTGCTGTATAACATTGTAATTGCAACTCCATTTAGTCATTCTTTTTTTTTTTAATCATTTTTGTTGTTCCTCTATCCTGTTAAGCACAATAAAGTACATCAGTTGCAAAAGAGCTATAATGATGTAAGACCACTATAATAAAAATTAAAGAACAATTTACAGATAGAATTAGTTGTCGATGATAGCAGGGCATGGGAAAGGCTGAATTGGGGAATGAAAATTACTCAGGTTAGTAGGATAGAGGGAAAGCATGTATAAAATATTGGTGAAACATATTGCTTGTATTTATACATTATAATTAATGTTATAAATATATTTAAGAATGACTAAATGGGTGGAGCTCTGGTGGCCTAGTGGCAAGGAGCTGCAACTACAATCCTAGAGGCTCACGGTTCGAATCCACCAGATGCTCTGCTGGGAAAGGAGGGGCAATCTCCTCCTGTACCAGTCAGATCTGATTTGACGGTACACTCACACAAAAAGTCCAAAACCAAAGTTAAACTTGGCAATAACTGGTCCTATACCATGGGATTAACAAAAGCATTGAACTTGAACGTGACTAATCATGATGAAATCTTACCCAATCACTTACTTTTTGATTAGTTTAGAGAGACATTTCTGGTTGAAGGGAGGGATATTTTTCCTGTTGGTTATTTCCAGCAGTTGATTAGCAACAGCTTTATGGTCAAACTGTAAAAAGAGAAATGAAATGTATCTGGAGTGCAGTGTCACTGCTTCCCAGTCCACTCACATGTCACATACACAGTAATGGATCACCCTTCAGCTCAGGATCTTGAAAACACCCAACAACAGAATATGTGGATATCTGGGAATTATAAACCGGAGCCATGTCTTTGAAAGGTTCATGTTTGCATTGTTCTGGGAAGTTGGGTGCACTTTTAAAGTATAATCTAGAATTTCAATCTGAACCTGGTAGCATAGTAAATTTTTATTTGCAACCACTGAATTTTTGTTGCATGGAACAGGGTAGATCTTAGGGATTGAAACCAAAACGAAGACTGACAATTTATTAAATTCCACATTTAATTTCCTTTCTTTCAAACACACTCATTATAAGGAAGGTGACACTCTGCAGAGACTGAAGGGATTAGAAGGAACCTGAGCATCAACCTTATGGTTTAATTAGCTTTGACTCTAATTCCCAAGAGCTGGGCCAATCCACAGTACTCTATGCTCTATAAATAGCAACACCACCACTCACCTGCAGCAGCGACCCAGGGTCTTCACAGGTGCCACAGCTGTTTTTCTCACCGGCATCAGTGATGCTATCTTTTCTTGAGTGATGTTTGCCTAGGGCTATCAAAACACATCCAAAGACAAAATTCTTCACATCAGAGGATTCAAACAGTAAGGACTACTCCCAAAGGCACTACCACCTAATCAGTGTCTTTAGAGAGTATTTCTGAAAGAAGACAAATCTGCAATAAAACTTCCTAAATGTATGCTGGTTGTTCAGTCCCTGGAGCTGAGGATAAGTCTGGGAAAACACACATTTGTCTCTTCTATTCATGCCGGATGCAACCATCACAGCTGTTTTGCCTCCTCCAGGGCTTTTCTACGCCACAGAAGTCCCTGTTAACATGGAGGTGAATGGAAAGTCTATGGACTTTGTCAGTGGGATTTAGAAGCTTCTCCTTAGTTTTAGACACTAAGTTGGGAACTTTGTAACAGCTTATTACAGCAAAACACTAACTTTTTATGTATTGCTTCAAAATAATCAATTAATCTAACCAATCCCACTGCTGCCAAGTTGACTCTGGCTCAGTGATCTACCTTAAAGGGCAGAACAGAACTGCCTCATCTTTCTTCCTTAGAGAATTTGGTGGGTTCACACAAATGCTTAACCATAGTGCCACTAAAGTTCTTTGTGGCTGCCTGAGAAAGTCCAAGTTAATATGAACTAGACTTTTCGTATTTAAAAAACAACTTGAAAAGTATCAGCAGCGTAGGAAAGATAGGTCAAAAATCTATGCATCAGAGCTTATGACTTTCTCCACAACTGTGCTCTTTTTGTAACCTGGTAAGCTTGTGGAGTGACATCAGGGTCTGACCTGGAGTAGAAGGCGTGGGTCATGCCTTACTGGTGTTATTAGGTGTCATCAAGTTAACCACAACTCCTAATGACCCTATGAACATTAGATCTGAATCAAGGTCTATCCTACACTTTCCTTAGCATCTCTGATATGCTAAAGACCACTGTATGGGTGTCAATCTATCTTGCTGAGGGCTTTCTTCCCTTTCTCTATCTGACATGGTCTTAATAAGCATTTGATGAAGAAACTGTGAGATCTTTAGACCTGCACATGAATCAGAGCAACAAAAATGTGGCAAGCAGAAGGACAACTCCGAGGACATAGAATTTATTTTCCTAGCCATTGTCTGACTTTGCTATGTAGAAAAGCGGGAATATGTGAATGGGGCATGTTAGCCTCTGCACAAGGGGACCATCTGACAATGGGATTGGCTAATCTTGCCATTGAATTGAGCAAGCCAGTATTGAGACGCACACAGATCTTCTGGTACCACTGAACAAGAAGCAAGAGAATATAGGACAACCTTCTTGTTCTAGCTACACCTACGGCAGTAAGGCCTATGGCAGACCTGGAGACCCGATGTGAGATGGGATCTTGTTGAGGGAGAGCCAATATTGGCAGGATTGAGAACTAGGGAACACTGGCAAAAAAGCCACGAGGCTTGAGGCAGAGGCGCCTGTATGAACACTTTGGGAGCTGTTTTGACTATATAGGTAATAATCTGGATTTAAATTTGTATTTCCTCAGTATAGTTCTATGTGGTCTGTGAGCTATCTTGGACCCAGAAAAGCAGTAAGACTAGTATTGAGATGAGAAGAATGAGAGGAGTGTGGGGTACATGTGTGACCTCACGGGAATTGATTTGGTGCTACTAATGCTGTGGATAGGGACAGTTCCCCTTTGTGGAGTTGATACAGGTCAGATTTGGCTGTCCCCATGTGACCCTTGATCTTTTTACAGAGGACTATGTTGAATAGGCTCAAGATAATTTAGTTAATTTTCTTTTCTTTTAGAGACTTGTGTTTCTTTCCAATTAAAAATTAATATTTAATAATAATAAAAGTTTAACTAATGAGAACATTTAATTTAAAACATTTAAGATGAAGGCATTTAAGATATGCGATCACTTAACAAATCAAAAGGAAATCAGTACAAATAAAATCACTATTTAGAAAAGTATAAAGAGAACAAAAATCACCCTAACTCTATCACAGTAAGAGTAACTATTAACATTTTTGTACTTATTGTTCCAAAATTATCACCCTTCCCTTTTGTTTTAGTATTTTTTTTTTTCGGGGGAAAAAAGTCTTTTTAAATGGTCATAAGTTTTTAAAATTTCTGCTTTATAATAGAATGAAGTCACAAAGCAGGCAGTGTTCATGAGAAGAATAACTTTAAATTTCAGTTATAATTAACATTCAAACAAGTACAAGTTCACACTAGGATACTTAAAATATACAAACATCCCTAAAACAACAGTAACAAAATCCTTGGAGTCTTACTCCAGTACTATTCTCTTG